AAAACACAGAGACTCAAGTGACGTCATGCTCAGCAGTACACTGTGTATCTGAGTGGCCTAGATCCGCAGGATTCAATGTACGTAGCATGGTTGGCCGGGATGGGAATCTTCTTCTTGGAGTGTTACCTCGGAACTACATGTTTAATTAATGAACATACTAATATTGTAGTACCTCGGCAATTTTACATCCAGCATTTCTAGCTCTAACAGTTGTACACCGAACCCCCTCCCCCCTTCCCCCAAGAGTTGTGAATTGAAAATAATTATTTATGCACATTTCAAATCATTTTCAGGTAGCGATAATGGTCTTTTCGAACTTTTTGGTTCTCTTGTCACGGTCATATAAACATGCATTTGATGATGAAATATTGTATCCACTAACATGAATGTAAACAAATACTCAGACACTTCACTCGCTCGCAGAATTTAGAAACCAGGTAGAAATCAGCCCCTAACATTTATGGGTGTATATTTAATCAGTTACCCGCGACGTAGAACTAAGATAGTAGGAAAACCTGAGCTTTGTGACGGAACTGTGTTTTACCGCATTTATTTTTTAATGGTTCATTTTAGCTGAACAATTTTTTCTTCTTGCCGCATCAAACATTTCGTATATATACATATACATTTATATAACCTAACATTTTGTATCAACAGGACGTCTATATTTGACCCCAACGGGTACATTAACAGGACATCATTAAAAAATAATTGGTATATTACCCTTACCCTAACCCTAAATTCTAAACAATATAACTAGTTAAACTAATGAATAATGAATAACCCTATTGTTTCTTGGGAGGCCTATACGTTTCCTCTGCCTGCAAACATACGTTAAGGGCAGTAATTTTATTGTTAAATCGGCAACAGGACATGAACACGTCCTGCTAATGACCATGTCTACTTGATGACTCATTTTTTCACTACATATGTCCGTCTAATGACGCTGTAAAGTTTATATATATATAACAAATAATTCAATTTTGATAATCCTACGTCACGGCAATATATAATAATAATTATTAAAAGAATTGAAATAACAATCCTTGAGAGTTCTCTTCTTCACTATGACCGGGTTCAATTTTATTTCTTCAGATAGTGGATTCAAAATTAAATTTACAAACAAATGCAACAAAATATATACGAATAATGTATACGAGCGCATTGCGCTAAAATGGCGCGTTGCTTGGTAACATAGTTATTATTATTATTACTTTCGGTGACTCAAATAGTACTATTGGAGTCACCTCTTTCCCATCATAGTTGAAATCATGTAATATCAATCTTTATCTCCATTTGAACTTTATTGTGCATGAATTTTTTTTCTTCTTCTCATAAATGTGTCATGCAATCAGATCCATAATTATAATAAACACATCATTCTCTATGTTAAACTAAGGCCTGTTCAACTCTGGCTAAAATAAATTTATGAAATATTTTGTTTAAATCTTACGTTTAGTTTCATTGTCTGCCTCCATTTTATAAAAAGCAAGACATCAAATTCTGGATTTACTCCTTTTATAATTCATTCACAGCTTTTTGAACGACGGGTGTATTTTCGGAGATCGCGCGATTAGTGGAGATTTTGCTATGCGTGGGATACATTTAGGGAGCGGGGAGGAGATAGTTGAAGTAAAAACAAAGTTACAAAACGGACAGAATCTGATCTAAAGCAGTGCTGGTTGACAAATGAAGACGGAAAGGTCCTGAAAGAAAACAATAAAACATCTTGCAGCTAGGTATTAACGGCAATTTCCGTTCCTTTCCTCATTCCTAACTTGTTCTTGCTTTCCTTTTTTTCCAGCTTACCTTCCTTCACTTTTTTGTTTCTTACTTTATTTTCCCTTTTTGCTTCCTCTTTCCTTTCTTCATCTTTCATTTTTCTCTTCTTTTCTTTGTTTTCTGCAATCTCTCTCTCTCTCTCCTCTCCACCTTTCCCCTTTTTCTCCCCTCACTCTTTTTTCTTTTTAATTGTTCTTTTTTTTCTTCCTCTATCTCTTCTTATTTCATCTCCTTTCTCCTCCCTTTTCGTTCTGTCCTCCTTCACAGTTTACCTGTGTTGTTCGAATTAGAGATTCATTGACTAATTTGTCTGATAGGCCACCCAAGTCAATCTCTCGTAGTTTGTCTGCCAAGAGCTGCCGTTTGTTTGAGTGTGGAGGTTGCTGCATGACATTCCATTTCATGAATACATCCAGTAACGCATCGGTTTCGTTCTTCTTACTCGTGATCTTCTCTAACTGAGCATAAGGGATCCCTAGAGATATCCCTACCGCCTTAAAGTATGATGGAGCGATTTCCTGGGCCAGCTTCAGGAACTCCATTTCACTGACAGTACTGTAAAATAAATAATAAATCAAATGGGTACGATTGGATATTGTTTAAGAGCATCCTATTGGATGAGAAGCTATCACGTGACACTAAAAAATGTGTATTTTGGCTCGAGCATGCACTATAACAGCCTGGGGGTATCAGAATAATTATATTGCCTGTGATATATAAACATTTGGAAACATATTGTCCGAAATTACAGACGGAACGGTATTTTTCTGGCAAGGGTAAAAACGCAGAGTCTGGTAGTAAATACAATAATAATCAATGATGATGATCGTAATAATGATAATTATAAGAAAACGATTACTACTAATAATAATGTTTACGTAATTATTATTACTATAATTGATGATGATGATGATTATCATTATTATCACCATTATTATCATCATCATCGTCATTATCATCATCATCCTCATCATCATCTTAATTATTAAAACCTTCATCATCATCATCCTAATTATTATATGTATCGTGCATAGTCTATGTAATCACTAAATTTGTTCGATAACATGATAATTTCAAATGTCAAATTGACTCATTAGCGACAATTACTGAGCTGCCCGAATATGCATTTTTTTTTTTAAATATCTTATCTCGTATATTTTTGTGATAAATAACACTTTTACAACATAAATATGCTCAAATTTTCGCTCGCTCGCTAGTTGTGAAATCAGAAAATTGATAGTCGGGCAAGAGGCTGCAGCCCCCCTGGTGAAAATGTCAAAAATGTTGCTCGTGCGCCTTCGCGCGCGAGCATAACTTAGAAACGGGGAATGTTGGTATCGGACAAGACACATGACGTCAGCCTGTCCCCTTTCCAAAACTGCCCGCTACGAGAAATACTGCGGAATAAACTTAGAAATGATTATGCAATTTCAAAGTGTTTTACCTTGCTTGTGTGAAATTGCATAATCATTTCTAAGTTTATTCCGAAGTATTTCTGGTACTAATTTTTGCTATGTTCATGATGCTTGACTATAATTGAGTGATATTAAGTTTGTATGCCATGTATATTTGTTCGTACAATGTATTTGTTTCTGTATGTGTTTGCACTTCAGAACCTGAAGAAGGCCTCACAAGCCGAAAGCTTGTAATCAAATTGTAACGTACAGCTACGTCTCACGTTCCTAGGCCATTTTCTTCACGCCTATATATATATATATATATATATATATATATAAACCTATCCACCCACACACACACACACACACACACACACACAACACACATATGCGCGCGTATATTGTAGTTCTACTCACTTGTTAACGGTGGTTGAGGATGAAGAAGCGTACCGTTCTGTAAACATTTCGCCAAATCCTGCCAATTACACAAAATTAAAGGTGAAATTCAAAGAAAATCACAAATATGTCAACTAATGTATCACTAAAAACTGGTCAGGTAACAGATGTTCATCTTACAAGTTTTAGGTCATCTACATATCGGGTGATTTATAAAAATGATCCAGTCAACGTTTCGTACAATCATTATTTAGTCTGAATAGCAAGTAGGGCTAATCTATAACCATGTGGTTCTAATTGCCACTTCCTCAAATCAATAATTTGTACGTCTTGATCCAATAACCATTTGTTCCATCATTATTCGATCCATTTCTCATTTTTTTTCTCTAATAAAATTGTCTGAACCTCAATTACTCCAACAACCATTTTGTCCGAACACATTTCGTCCATACTTTAGTTCGTCTACATGACTGGTGATCTATCTTAATTTCGTCTATATATTCAATTCGTCTTTCACTGTAAGGTCGAATGAAATAAACTAAGTAGTGACGGCCCTACTATGATTAGAGTGAAACAAAACAAATGTTAATAAATAAAGGCCTATAGATGTACATCAAGATATCAAGTTTTGATTTTAAAGTCGCTTAACCTTAACTTTTAGTTATTTCAATATAGAGATCATTTTATTTCTGTTTGGCGTTTATGCACCACAGGTCGAGTTGTAATGTGCATATTACCAATAGGATGTCATTTTGCCGCAACAGGTGCCTTGTGATAAGTTATGCACTATTGATACTCTAGGATTAGAACAAGTTTCTCCATGAAATGCTTTACCTGGGAAATATGTGTTGAATATGATCGTATGTGTAGTGGTTTGAACCAAGTCAAGTGTCACTAATGTCTCATTACTATTTTCGCCTTTGTCTGGTAGATCGAGCTTGAAGTACTTTGTCACTTTACAATCCAAGCTCATTTCGTTGTGCTGAATATCCTGAGGAAAATGGCAGATGAAATAATTAGTTTGCAAGCCCGACTGTATGAAAAATGCGCCGAAACTGAAAAAAGATGCAGAGATTACTGATGAAATTACTGTAGAAAAGCAAATTAAACTTTATCCGATCAATTTCCCAATGTTGCTTCTACTTTAATCTACTGCAATTAAAAGTTCCTTCATTCAATTTGATTATATTGCCAGAAAAAGTCAAATAGTAAATTCAAAGTAACGCATGCATGTATGCATTATACTCATTATGATTTGCAGATATTTATTTACTTTTTTATTATATGTGCTATAAAGGACCAGTTGGTGTAAATACTTGAACTAAAGTACATATAAATATTGGTTGCACGGACTATTAAAGGCCCTTGTTTCAGTTTATCTTAACTAAGCATGGTAATGCCGAGACCCGTCGTAAAAAATACACTTTATACCTGTGTCTCTGGACTCTTCCCACTCACTGGCTGACAAGTGACGCTTAGTTTGCTTCGGTGAAACAGAACTTCATCGTCATCGGTCTTCACAGGTTGGAGATGGGGGTCATTTAATACATGGACGTCGTTCTGAGAAATCAAGTATACAAACAAGGATTCAGATTAAGTAACCTTGAGATTATCAAGAATATATAAATCATACGTATGCTTGTATCATACTCCTACCCTCAGCTTTTTCAACTAAAATCCATGCCACACAGGAATCGTCAGAAGGAATAACCTGTGGTTGCATGGGTCAACCAATTCAGGCTTTGGTTGGCAAGAAAATGGCAACGTCCAAAATGGCCATAGCATGAGAAAAACTGCCAGAAAGAGTATAGGACCTACTATTCACAGTAGAGATGTCACAGATTAGTCTGAAGGTATATTTCAGGCATCGGGACATTTTTTCATTCGTTTAATTGATATTATCAAATTGGACAAGTTACAAAGTATAGTCTAACACTCAAGACAGCAGTTAAGATGAAACTGTTACAAACGTGACAAACGAGAGGGAAAAAGTAACAATATCGTTGTTTTAAGAAGAAAAAGGGGCTGAAGTAGGTTAGAGATGAAACAGAGATGAAAGCTCGATTTTTGTTTTCTTCTAATACAGACAAGGCTTGAAAATTGTTGATTTGCATCAGAAAATGTTGAATGGGAGAGTAAAACATCCCATAACGAAAAAAAGGCTCCCTGAAGTTATCAAACTAAATACGCCATAAAATAATGGTGTTAAATATCCGTTTACCCATTTCTGGCCATGAGGCTTCTTGGCGAAGCGAACCTCCAGTATTGGTAATCTATTTGAAGGCACGACTCTAGGTAGAAACGACATGCATGACAGTAAGATGCCCTTCAGAAATAGCCAGTCCCAATATATCGCAAAGTATCCTCCAGAAAAATGGCTGATTGAAATCTCTAGCCACCGTTCTTGAACTGAACAAGTAATGTCGGGAGAATGTTGAAGCCGTTTAGGTGTACCTTTCAAATAAACCAAACAAATTCAATTCATTTTAAAAAGACGAGAAACGACTTAGATCTTGGAAGTTTCTCTTAGCTAATCGTATTTTTGCGACTGGAGTACAATTCAAAAGGGTAAAATGACAAATTAGACAAGACTAACTTTATTGTTCATACTCCAATAAACATAACATTTTCAAATATGAGGGCTACTTATTTATCTATTTTTCCATTCAATTCAATAAATTCTTATTTCCTTCACAAAACCAAAATGAAAATGTCTCTCAATTATTCTTTTTCAGTAACAGTAGAAAAAACAATCTGTATATAGGCTTTAATCTAGTAATGGCCTAATTGAGGAATCGAAAATTTAATTTTTTGATGACCATGATTACTCTGTCCTTATACCAAATAACTTTTAAAAAAAGTGTATTGCATTTAAATTTTTAATTTGATCTGCCGTGCAAAGAACCCCCGAAACCACAGAATTGGTTTAAATTTGTCGAACTGGTTAGAGGGTCTTCGGGCCTTATTTTCAATATTTTGTCATTTTTGCATTGACAAAAATAAGAGAAAACATAGCAAACTAATTAATGTCATGGAGGGAATGCTGAATTCTACTAGTGATTTTGTTACCAAATTGTCAAATTGAGTTAACATAAGGACGTGTATGGGGCAAAATTGTATGAGTTTTCTGAGAAAAGTTCTTAACGTATTTGAGTTCCTGACTGGTATTGTAGAATTTGTTACATTTTTATCAAATCATGGCCATAGCTGATATCGCCATCCGAAAATTAAAGAATGGGCATATAGATCTTCTGTAAGTCTTTTTTCTACTAAAAATGGTGACAATGTTTATCAGAGTACGCCAGTTGCAGGGTTCAGAGATTCATATATTCCCATATTAAACATGTTAAATGAGGTACTGTCAGCATTGCCAATGATGATCTAAATTTGCAGAGGTGAGTGCGCCCTCCCCCCCCCCCACAATCCTCCAAGAAAAACAAGAAAACAGCTCTCAGAATGCAAAATAGCCCATACCTCATTCCATAATTATTTTGGTTGATAAGTTATCGGGCTCCAGACCTATGTCAGTGAGTGGTAAATCCAGTAGATTATGTGCCAGCTTGTTCACAAAAACTAACGATCTGCCTTTTTTGAAAAACACATGCCAGCCTGCCATGTTTATACTTTTGGAAAGGCTGAAAATATGATCTAGTTACCTGACTGATTCCAGGAATACAGTACGGTCTGTACTTTGTTAGGAGCAGTGACTAATGCACAGTGAGGTATTATCAGCTTTGCCGGTTTCTTAAAGCATAGTCCAGACGGGTAACACTGGAAGCCATGGCTGACTAGAAGTTCGTCCTCTTTAAGTGTGAGGCCATTTGGAATCTCGGTCAGTACCCGAAGGCTGATTGTCTCATCTTCCTCAAGGGCACCAGGTGGAATGTGGAGTGTGAATCCATGGGATTTGGTAGACAGCTTTCCTCCATGGGCCCCAAAATGTCCAGTTGCAGATCTACCATCTGATATAAAACAGCAGTGCAAATATATTTATTAACAGAATACTTTACAATAAATATATCTTTTACAAGCTCTGACGTCATATAGGCGAGAATCTTCTGCTAGAGATACAGTGCCTGTATAATTGAAGATGATGTTCCAGACTCACTTTATTTGGATTTATTTTGCAAAACTAACAATGTCGGGAGGATATATAGTGAAAGACAAAATGAATTAACGTTTTGATGTTAAAAAAACCATTAGATGGTTACTATTACAATTTTTTGTTTTTGTTTACACATTTATGTTTTTTAACCGTTGATCTGACGCCGGGCCGGAGATTCTTGCCTGCGACCTCAGATATATCAAAATGAAATGAATCAACGAATCCTTCAATTTTAGGTGAAAATACATAGTTCTATCAGATACGTAAATGTATCTCACCTAAGGCGTGGTTTATTGGCTTTACACTATCCGTACTATCACTTTGCTCCATTTCTGGAAGGTTGTCATAATTGTTCTTCTCAGCCTCCGTTGTTACTCTGTTGTAAACAAACATAAAAGCAAAACAAACAAACATACTTTATAAAGTTGACAACTAGAATATTCATAACCCTAGTAAATTTGATGTATTTTGTGTCTTTTTTCGTAACACAATGATGAAAGATGGACTGGTTGAATACTTTTAGATGTAAGCTTTAATTTTTCATATTCTCGAGAAAAATCAAGCGATATTTCACATACTTCAATCATGATAAACTTAGTAAAGGTAGGAATAATTTAGTTGTTAACTATACATTTAATTACCTTGAAGTTCATGTACCCATTAACGTGTAGCGAATTATATTTCAATTAGAGGAAACCCCATGACCCCGTACCAGAACATTTCCATGAATCAAATTCACTTCAATTCAATTGTTGCTAACACGTAGCTGCTACTTTACTGATTTAATTATAATACTAATACTAATAACAATAATAATTATATAATAATAATAATAATAATAATAATGACGATGATGTTGATGATGATGATGACAATAATAATATTAATAATAACAGTATCAATAATAATAATACTACTACAACTACTACTAATAGTAATAATTATAATGATGATAATAATAATAATAATAATAATAATAATAATAATAATAATAATAGCCTAATAGTCCACTCTAAATTTTATTAAACCGAAACGGAAATTCTTTTTGCCCAATTGATCGTGAGCCCGGCAGCCACTGAGCAGCGCCAGATCGACTACTGATAATATGGGTCTATACAGTGTGAGTCAAAATTATGTTAAAAATCATCTATGAACAGTAAATTAGTATACATATTATGAAAGAGTGTTTTATCCCGAATCATTTAGTACCATTTTATGTGGTATGTGTTCACGCTTGGATGAAGAGGAGGCATTGTTTGGGACAGGACAGTAAAACACTTGGGGTGGTATTCTCGAAAGCGGCCAAAGTTAAGCCTGGCCTAACTAAACCACGGACTAAGTTAGGCCAGGTTTAACTTAGGCCGCTTTCGAGAATACCACCCTTGGGATTGGATAATAATTCGGTCTTTGCAGATCCAAATAACATCCCTAACAAATTTAATCATGCCACACATATCAAATATCGAATATCAAACATCAAACAACATTTGTGTGCGTGGGTGTGTGTGACTTTGCTTCTGCAAAAAGCATAGCAAGGCGTTTCATTCGATACATTCAATCCATTCTCTCACTCCGCTAATCCCAACATATTACATTTTGTGGGCATCATTCTGGCGCAAGTCGATTTATTTCACTCTCGCAAACAATGCCTCCTGTTCATCCAAGCGTGAACACACACCACACAAAAATGATACCAATTGATTTGGGATAAAACACTCTTTCACAAGATGTATAATAATTTACTGTTCATAGATGATTTATAAAATAATTAGCAATTTTCTAGGTGTAAATTTTTTTTGACTCACACGGTATAGCCCTCATTATGTCGACAATGACTCTACGCTTTACGGATGGGGTGCAGAACCCCAATTCGATTGTTTTAGAGACATGGAGTGTTGTAAAAGGTTGTTGGGTATCAACGTGTTCAGGGCACCCCCTGCACAATTTCTATGTGGACTACCTTGAATATATACTGCTGAAAAAAAGCTGACAGGCAATTTTTAAAATGGCCACAATGTATAACTACCATTGAACTGTTTTAGAGATTATTTGTGAAATTTCCATCCCGCCCCGCACTAATTTAACACCTCGGTGGAGAGTAAAAAATGTTGATTGATATCCTTTCTAACATCATTAGTGACAGACAGCGATTCCAACCAACGACCCAGTCATTCAGAGCCAAATAATTAAACAACTATACCACAACACCTCCAAAATGAAATCCCTTCGAATTTTCCTTGTTCATAGCAGTTGGAAGCAAAAACGAAAATGACAGATATATTTCCACATCTATATTTAGCAGGAGAGTATAGTGACCTACACCACAAATTGAAGAAATGTATCAATTCAATAGTGAGTAGTGGTAAATTATAAATATCGTATCTATTCGAACAGATTTTGTTTTTCAAATTGCCTGCTGGCGATTTTGACTGGACGAAGGATTTTGCGCCGTATTCCAATTTATTTTCGCCACTGGACAGCCACGTCTTGGACATTCAATGCAGAACATGATTTGCAGCCTTCTCTATTTCTTTTTCAAACATGACGCACGTTTTTCGTCTTGGTACGTTTAGCTCATAATTTGTTTTTCTTAAGGGATCTATTCTTGCGTTTCCTTCGTTTTGATTTTCTTCTGCAAAACTATGCAGGTAATTTTAAATACATGCTTAAAGACAAAACTTGACCACTTATCGTTTTAACCTAGATAAAGTGTATTGCACAAATGTCAAAATTGCATGCCCATTCAATGTAACGAGATTGATGAATGTCTACTGCAGACTGACATGCGCGAAATTGGATGCTGCTTGCGTGTGTTTCGGAATTGAAAGCTCGCCATACACGAAATGAAATGACCCATGACTCTAAAATTAAACCGGGAAAATCACTTTAGGAATGATGATCTAAGCCCCTATTCGATTTCGCAAAAACTTAAACTTACGAATCTGATTCGTCAGCTAAATCTTGAGATGTGCCAGCAGTTTCCGTAGCAATGCCCTTTCCACCATCTGAAAATTAATGAAATATATTAAGGCAGTATTAACATCTGTTAATTACAACATGTGAATGATCCCATTAATAATACCAACATTAATTTCTATCCTCATCAATTAAGAAGCCATAACAATACATGTTTACACTGAAATGAATGATTCCTTCTTATGTTGTACTTGAGAGGAGTAGAAGTCTATAATTGCATTATTTATGATACCCTTGGTTTTCTCTGCTTTCGATGCGTCCTGCACAGAATCCCAAACCAGCTTCAGTGTCTGCTTTGCTTTAGGCCCTGAAGTCTGAGATGCTATCCAACGCGAGAGTAATTGGATGTTAGCGTCTTTCCTGTTGTATAATGTCCGATGTTCGATGTGTTGTAACTCTGACGTGTTGAATCCCAGCTTCCCGCCAATCTCATAGAACTTCTTTGGTCTGATCTGACGAGCGAGCGCAAGTAGTGTCCTGTCAGGAATTTCTCTGTATCATTGGATAAAGTCTAAGTCAAGAAACCAACAAGTATATTTTCTCGCTACTTCAAATACTTCAAATCACCGAAAGATTTCAAGGTATTGGTATGTGGGCGTCCGTGGGTGTAAATCTTTTTCTCTCTTTCTCTCGCTCTCTGCCTGCTCGTTTGCATCCCCCATTTATATCAACTTCTGCCCTTATCTCCTTTTCCTCTCGATCAATTTAATTCCCCAATTTTATTCATTCATTTCAACGCATTTCAGATTATTCAACTGTCTTCCTGTTGGCTTCCTCCACATCCCTCCACATCACAAATTAAAAAAGAATGGGAACAAGAATAAAGAATGTATGCATTCTTTATTCTTGTTTCGTTTTTGTTTCGTTATCTTAAAAAGTGATTCCCATTATTGTTTTTTTGAAGACCTTTCTTTTGAATTTTGATTATATTTTGATTTGTCACAATTGGTTGCCTTACAGTCTTTTTATCCGTTTGCAAGGAATTTGTTTTCATATGGTACGTTGGGGAAAACAAATTAAAGTTGGAATATACGACTTATAAATTCTTTAGGCTTTGAGGATGGCTTTTCATTAAAACCCATGCCTCACTCTAACCGTATTGTATTGTTAATACTGCAGCCATTTATTCTCATTGGCGGAAATAAATAGCACTGAACCGACGTTGAATATCAATACTATCAACACCTTAGTTGATATAAATTATAATCTTACCCAGTAAGTCCAATGTCTGATGCACGTAGATGTAGCAAGAGTAGAACATAAAGATATAAACATAAACACAAATAAGAATAAGAATGTACGAATAAATAATTTGTTTTAAAAAATGAAATCATACTAGTTTTTAGCCTCGTTTTAATACGCCGTGCCAATTAATGCATGTTCTTTTTCTCACGCTCCGTGCTACAAGTATGATGTGCTAATACTAGATAAGAAATATTTTTAGTATCCCATCCCCTATTTATTCTTTGTTTTCTGTTGAAGGATAAAAAGACATTTATTATGTATTGTATTATCTTGAAATAACTCAAATACTTGATTTTTACTACACTTCAGCCCTTGGTCCAAGATTTCAAGGTATTGGTATGTGGGCATCCGTCCGTGTCGGTTATTTAGAGCTCTAACTTATTTCTTGACTGTTAATGAAGTGCCAATATTCTATACACATATTTGTTATCCCAAGTAATCCTGATTATAGGAGCTAAGTTTGAAAAAAAACAACTGGAAGTATCGGTGTGTACTCGTCTCTTCTAAGTAAGCCGAAAGGTTGAAGCCTACTTTAGGTTCAATGTGGGTACGATTTTAAAAACAGTGAATTAATCCTTCTCTAATTTATTTCTTCTAGTGTATTATAGGGTGGTATATTTCTTCATGTTAAAATGTACATCGACTAGAAAATCAAAACGACACTGTGTGCAAAAGTCAAACCTGAGATGGCCATTTCTTCTGCTGGTGAATCTAAAGATTCCATGAGTGAGAGAAGCGTTTCCTTTGCTGCTTGGCCAGATGGTTGTCTCTCTCTCCATGTCATCAACATGTCATAGATGGTCTGCTCGCTGTCATGGAACCTCCTGTATTCTATAACATCCAGTTGATGCATGGTGAAACCAAGAGCTACTCCCAAATCATAGAACTGGTCCACTGTCATTGTTTGGGCTATTGTAAGGACATCAATGTCCAGCAGGTCACTTTTCAAGACTTCTTCCACTGCCCTGCAAGATAAAGTGAAGGTATTCTGGTAAATTTTGATTTGTTGAAACTACTTTAAAACGATGGTAACTGATATGCACAACAACATGACGCTAATGAATATGGCAAGACATTTTGTTATATGTCCATATACATCATAGACCGAGGAATGATTACACGACAAATATTCCGAAGGTAATAGCTTCGTGGTAAATATGTATATCATGTAAAAATGTATAACACAAACTTCAGCTCAGGACCAACTGTGACATTCATTCCGATTTATAAACGTAACCCAAAATTCGATTGCTTTATCGGTCCTTTGGTATCGTTGACGAAATAGAAACGGAGAATGGCTACCGAATCCATTTCTGATCACCTTGGCAAAGTAAATTACCATGAGGTGGGGCCCTTCAAAATTGTTATGTGTCACGTGATATGTTTGAAATCATAATTATTTTGTTTGCGTCCTGAAATGAAAAACAAAAAGCAGAGATATTGGTTTGATCTTTTCCAAATTCTTAAAGAGTGTAAAGTTTCATTCCAACAAATGATATACATGTAGCTTTTTTCAAATGAAACAGCATTGTTATTTATTTACTACACAAATGCCTAAATTAAACTCAGGACCAAATGTTACATCCATTCCAATCTATAAACACAACTTCAAATTTGATTGCATCATCGGCCCTGTCAATATTTTTGACTAAATAGAGCATTGAAACAGAGAAATGTCATCGAATCCATTTCTGATCAACTTTTACAACGAACAGTACTTGAATTTATAATTATTTTTGTCAAGTCCTAAAATGAAAAACAAAAACAGAAGTACTGTTTCGATCTATTCCACAATTATTTTTAAAGAGTATAAACTTCCATTCCAATTAAGCTTATATACATATACTTTTTGTTCAAACGAAACAGCATTGTCATCTATGATGTATGATTTGAAACTTACCGAAGAAATGATGGGGGCTCAGAAGGAGATAGGTACTCCTGCCCATCTACAATTTTTGAATAAAAGACAAATTAAGGAGAAAATACGAAAAATACCTGTGCTCTTTTTATTGTTATCATCATAATATTATACAATTTCCTCTGCTTATGGTCTTTAGCTTTCAAACAGTTTGCTGGACCTTTTGTCTCATGATTAAACTTACAGGAGTAGTATAATGTATAAAGAGTCATGTGGAAATACAAATTACAAAGAAGCGAATGTACATATTCATGACGAACTGTCAACAAATTTTACCAAAACATAATATATTCCATTCCGAATCGTAATTTGGTTTTGTTTTACGGATAATCTTGGGAATTAATGGCTCATTGAAAAACTTACACTTGGATGCAATTATCTCTAAGTGCTTAATATAATTTCTCATGAGATTGTCCAAAAAAAATGTTAGATCATACTCTTGAGTGACAAAGTAACTGATAATTTTTCATTAAGTGCAAAAAATATGACGAAGAGAGACTAACTATACCTGTGTGTCTGATGATAAAAGAAATTGATCGAGACGCCCCTAGCCTTCCAGTATGTGCAATCGTAATGGTTATTCCTGTGAGTTCTACATCATCATCAGTAGGAGTCACGGACATGTTAATGTTGTGTCTCATCTTGTCATGAACATCCTTCAAAGAGAGAACCTGTGATATTGAAATAAAGAAGAAAAAACAATACTAGATTTAAAACGATGTCATTACGATGAAAAAGTGTAAATTTATTCATAACATCTCGTGTTACCAACACGATCACAACTTTTTTTCGATTAATCATCTTACGGGCGATTTCAATACCCATATAATAAAATTGTCATTGTTATAATTTCACAATTCACATATTACAATAAGTGTCAAACGGGGATATTACAATTGGCTGTATGTCATTTTGTTTTCTTCAAGTAGATGCGATTGCGTTTATCATGTATATATTCCCCGGAGTACCAAATGCAGCAATTGGAGGAGTGTGTATAGAAAGCATTAAAGTTCATATTTATGATTGGTGGTAAATGCCCCCTCTTCCTCCTTGATGTGTACTGCATCTCCACCAAACATAATGTCGGATAACTTCATCAAACATGGAAAGGGAATGTTTAGGTAATATTGCCCGATAAAAGTGTCACATAAAATATGTCAGAGGGAAAAAAAGTCAAAGAGAAAACGTGAGAATATCACAGGATGGTTGAGGTAAAAATGTCAGCGGAAAACATTGACGGGGTAAGAATGCCAAAGGTAAAAATGGAAAGTAAAACGAGAGGTAGATGCAGAAGTTAAGAACGCCAAATGTAAGAATGATAGACCTACCTGACACGTTTACCTCTGACATGTTTACATCTGACATTTATCATTAAACCTGGGTAACTTTTAAGGAAAAAATAGCTTGATCATCAAAAACAGCCGTTGCTATGAAAACACAAAAGTTATATATTTTCTACAGATTATTATAGTAAACATTGACACGTCATATAAATCCTTTTGAGTTTTGATTACCTTGCTTTCAACTTGTTTGCCCTCTCGATGACATGTCACTGTGACGTCACCAGACTTAGATTCAACACTGAAGGGAACGAGACGATGACACTTGTGGTACGACTGCTGTTTCTTCTCCTCTTGTATATCCTATTACAAAGGAAGAGACTAAGTACCGTCGATACACCTTTCTTTCGGTTAAGAAAATGTTTTGAACCTCAGCAGAACCTCAACAGAAATCTAGAAACTAGTTTATCACTCTTAGAATGTTTCTTGGCAGTACGAAATCACGGCTTTTTAACCATCCATACTCCTAGAAACATTTGAAAGTTCAATAAATTTTCTTTAAACAAACCCAGTGTTTGGGGTTTTTTTTTTTGGGGGGGGGGGAATCCATTTTACCTATGGACCATTTTTGTAATGTAATAATATTTAATGCACAATTCTATGTTAAGTGTCTCGTTACATATCATATTAAAGTCACTTGGTATGAACAATTCTAGTTCAATAGTCAGAATGTGAATTGCATATACTACGTGTTGTTAGTTGGGACAAGCCATGATGTTTTTATCCTACATAGCAACAATTAATGTATGCAATCCACACTCTTGTTAGTGAAATACGATTATTCGTATAATAATTTGTAGCGAGGCACTTGAATGTGATATGTACCTAGGAAGAATAAATGAATGCAATCCACGTTCTGACTATTGCAATAAAATTATTCGTAAAACAGTTTGCGACGAGGCACTTAACAAAGATTTGTGTATTAAAATTTAATTACATTATTGTCAATGATCAATTTCGTGAACACAAAATTGGTTGATATCACTTGTGTAAATGAATGCGGACTGTGTCTCGGTGCTATATGGTTGAGTAAAACTGTTTTTTATAATTCGTTTCTTTGTTTCTCATTCATTCTATCAAAGGAAAAACGAGTATGACAACAAAAAACATTGTTTGTGAATTTCCTAAAATCTTACCTAAAATCATAAATTGAAAGGTATACAAAACTTATTTGACCCTCTGTAACCATGAAGATGAATGAATTTATATATGAAGGGCTCTGTGTAGATGTTAAAAGACTAGGACAATTGATTCATTGGGGACAAATCTCGAGAAAAATACATCACAGGGATTCCAACGCAACGGAGAGCCTTAATGGGGTGCTTGATACGAGCCAAGATGTGATAGCATGGCGGTTGGAATTATATTATTTAGAACGAGTAAACATTAACTATGATTCCTTTTTAGTTCTATGAAGACTTTGATTCATCGCGTAGCAATAAGACGGGCTTCCCCTAAAAAAGAAATCAGACTGCTTGAAGAAGCCAGTAGAAACTGGTGAAACGTCGTGGAGTAGTTGTAAGTGATAAATTTCCACAATTCATTGCTAATAATCAGGTGCTTTTTACTGACCGTTTCGATCCCAGGAAGGTCCGCATGCATCTGTAGGTGAACTTCAAACTCCTTGCCTCTCTCTATCTTGTCTGGGATGTATGTGGTGCACGTAAGTTGGTGGCGGATCACCTGTTGTTCGAGAGGAATAACAACCCACCACTCAGCACAGTGATCAATGTACAGCTCAAGATGTCTCTTGTACATTCTGCAATATGGGGGTTCGGCTGGTGAGTTGGATGATCTTGTTCTTGATGTTCTTGGTAGATCTGGTGTCAGTGAATAATAAACCAAAATGCTGTTTCTGTTTAGAAATGCTTTTTTGCCATGGACCCGATTTGACCTTTTAACAGTATACTGTATATTGATATCCATAGTAGGTGTTCTTGTCAAGAATAATTATTTTAAATGGTTTTGAATTTAAGAAGCCATATTTAAAAGCACCAACTCCACCTTCACCCTCTTTTCCTTTACTAATAGTTTCCACGGATACATGTTAATAGCTAATTGTTCCTCATGACGCGTTGACTCTATCCCAGCACTAAAAATAGGTAATTTTAGCTATCAATAGACTTACCCTTGACTGAATCCCATTCACGGGAAACGATGTCTGGTATGATTTGATCAGGGTTCATTACCAAGGCATAGTGTGGTATTCGGATCTTAACAGGTTGGTGGAAGGTCATGTTTGGAGGATCACATCTGACCCCGTAGCAGACCACTGATTCATCATCTTGGATGTCAGCAATGGGAGTGTCTCGTAAGAGGGTGAAAGTGATCTTGCACGGGTTACTCTGATCAACAGCCTCCGGAGGAATATACAGTGATACGCCGTGGTTTTCGATTTCGATTTCCTGACTGGTATTCATTTCGACTTCAACAGAGACGATGGAAGGAGTTGATGGTTTATCTGTTATTTATTTCAAACATACAGAAATGACACAAGAATATGACCAGATATAATCGACAAAGTAAATGTAAATCCAGATCGGGATAGTCTTTGGAATGATATATAAATATAGATTTCATCTTATTTCTGTTCACATACGATTCACTTTATTGCAACTGACAACGGGTGAGTTAATTACCCAGACACTGACATTCTCTCCTGTTTGTAATATATTTGAATTAATATTATTTG